AATTATTATATAAAGTAGTCTTCAAGATGGAGTATTACCAGAGAAATAGTGAGGCATTTCACAATTATAAGAGATCTAATTAATTAGGAAGACATAAATATGTATGTGACTAATAACAAAGTTCAAGATACATAAAGACAAAGTTGGCAGAATTAAAGGGAAAAACTAACACAACCATTATTGAATACCTTAATACCTTTCTCTCGGCAATTGATAGAAGGCAACAAACAAAAACAGTAAAAACAGAAATTCTCAACTATACTATCAACCACCTTTACTTAACTGACATTTTAGAACATTATATCCAACAACTACAGAATATAGGTTCTTTTCAAACACACTTATTACAGTCACTGAATCAGACTGTATATGGGCCATAAAACAAGTCTCATTACATTTCAAAAGATTAGAATCCTTCAGAGTATGTTCTCTGACCAAAACGAAATTAAAGTAGAAATACATGTGAATATATTTTAACTTTTTCTGAATTGCTCAAGGCTTACTATTCTAAATATTAATAATTTACCAGGTCCTAAATGTAAGGCCAGACACTGTAAAACTCTTAGAGGAAAACATAGGCAGAACACTCTATGACATAAATCACAGCAAGATCCTCTTTGACCCACCTCCTAGAGAAATGGAAATAAAAACAAAAATAAACAAATGGGACCTAATGAAACTTAAAAGATTTTGCACAGCAAAGGAAACATAAATAAGATGAAAAGACAACCCAAGAATGGGAGAAGGGCTTCCCTGGTGGCGCAGTGGTTGAGAGTCCACCTGCCAATGCAGGGGACACGGGTTCGTGCCCCGGTCCGGGAAGATCCCACATGCCACAGAGCGGCTGGGCCTGTGAGCCATGGCCACTGAGCCTGCGCGTCTGGAGCCTGTGCTCTGCAACAGGAGAGGCCACAACAGTGAGAGGCCCACGTACTGCAAAAAAAAAAAATGGGAGAAAGTATTTGCAAACAAAGCAACTGACAAAGGATTAATCTCCAAAATATACAAGCAGCTCATGCAGCTCAATAGCAAAAAACAAACAACCCAATCCAAAAATGGGCAGAAGACCTAAACAGACATTTCTCCAAAGAAGACACACAGATTGCCAACAAACATGAAAAGATGCTCAACATCACTAATCATTAGAGAAATGCAAATCAAAACCACAATGAGATTATCACCTTACACCAGTCAGAATGGCCATCATCAAAAATCTACAAACAATAAATGCTGGAGAGGGTGTGGAGAAAAGGGAACCCTCCTGCACTGTTGGTGGGAATGAAAATTCATACAGCCACTATGGAGAACAGTATGGAGATTACTTAAAAAACTAATAATAAAACTACCATGTGACACACCAATCCCACTAGTGGGCATACAGCTTGAGAAAACCATAATTCAAAAAGAGTCTGTATGGAAAATATTTAGTCTGTACTTGTATAAATACATCTTTATGTATTTCATTTTCCATGACTCACATTAATTTGACTGCAACTTGTCTTGGTGAAATACTTTAACATAATAAAGCAGTAAATAATTTGTTATTTTTACAAAAAAAAAAAAAGAGTCATGTAACACAATGTTCATTGCAGCACTATTTACAACAGCCAGGACATGGAAGTAACCTAAGTGTCCATCGACAGATGAATGGATAAAGATGTGGCACCTATATACAATGGAAAATTACTCAGCAATAAAAAGGAACAAAACTGAGTTATTTGTAGTGAGGTGGATGGGCCTAGAGTCTGTCATACAGAGTGAAGTCAGAAAGAGAAAAACAAATATCGTATGCTAATGCATACATGTGGAGTCTAGAAAAATGGTACTGATGGACCTAGTGTCAGGGCAGGAATAAAGACACAGACATAGAGAACGGACTTGAGGACAGGGGGGTTAGGGGAGGCTAGGACGTAGTGAGACAGTAGCATGGACATATATACACTACCAAATGCAAAATAGATAGCTAGTGGGAAGCTGCTGCAAAGCACAGGGAGATCAGCTTGGTGCTTCGTGACCACCTAGAGGGATGGGATAGGGAGGGTGGGAGGGAGGGAGACGCAAGACGGAGGGGATATGGGGATATATGTATACATATAGCTGATGCACTTTGTTGTACAGCAGAAACTAACACAACATTGTAAAGCTATTATACTCCAATAGATGTATAAAAAATAATAACAATAATTTACCAGGTCCATCAGAACCTAATCAAGGTGTGTCAAGACATTCCCCCTATGCTAATTAGCCTCAAATTGCTGTATTTGGGAACCATATATCAGCTTTTGGTAGATTTGCTATCTCCATCCCTCACCATCAGTTTCCTTTTATCTTGCTCTCCTTTTATCTCAAGAAACAATACTTTAAACTCCTATTTCCATTTGTAAAATGGAGATAAACAGTATGTATTTTCCTATTTAATTTGTAAGGATTAAAACTAAACAGTTTAAAGATATTATTATTACTGTTTTTAAAAGTTTACTGTATTAGTATCTGTCATTCAATTGCTCAATAAATATTAGATAATCTCACTCACACACACACACACACACACACACACACACCCCAAATTTATCTCCAGACCAGACCTCTCTTATGAGTCAAATGAAGGACTTCCCTGGTAGTCCAGTGGTTAAGAATCCACCTTCCAATGCAGGGGATGTGGGTTTGATCCCTGGTTGGGGAACTAAGATCCCACATGCTGCAGGGTAACTAAGCCTGTGTGCTCTAAAGCCTGCGCACCACAACTAGAGAGAAGACCTAGAAGACTGAGGGGGTTCCTGGGACACAGAACTTAAAGTGCTAAAGTCAGGAAAGTCATGGGCAAACCCAGATGAGTTGGTCATCTTAAGTCTACTTCCCCTTTTGACTCTGGACTGGCTTTATGACTTGCTTTGGCCAACAGAATGCCGTGGAAGTGACAGTATGCAAAGTCTAAGTTGACTCTGGTTCCAGCCAGTGGAAGAAGGGCAGGGAAGAGTCTCAGCTCTGTCTTAAATGGCCCATCCTAGGACTGGTACTCGTGACTCCCACTCTGTTCCACTCATAGCCTAGAACTGAATCACATCATTAACCTAAGTGCAAGGGTTGGTTGGAAATGCAGTCTAGCTATGTTCCCCAAAAGATCAGATTTTGGGAGACAGCACTTGTTCTATTCCACAATTTTCCATTACTAGTCCAAATGATGAAGTCTTATTCTGATTAAACACTAAATTGAGGCACAGAGAAGTTAAGTAATTTTCCCAAGGTCACACAGCTTGCAAATGGCCAAGCTAGGAATTGAGCCCAGAACCTATACTTTAACCACTCCAATATATTTCTAATACTATTCGATTCTCTGACAAATTACTTTGTAATTCTTTAACAATAACGTTTCCCTTTATCTAAAAAAGGATGCAAGAAGCTGGACATAGCTATAGTCAGTTCCCTATGAATAACTTGCAGGGCTCCTCTTCATCCCCCTCTACGGTTTCAGAGAGGTGTAGAAGCAGCCGGGGCATGCCACACAGGGAAACTACCTAAGGCTCAGCACAGAGGGACTCTGCCCAGCGGACTAAATGAGGATAGTGCCCAGGGGACTAAATGAGGATAGTGCTATGCTACATGAATTAGGTAGTAAGTAGCCTGAGAGCCTTTCCTAAATTCAGTACTGCAGGCAGCCCTGCACTCCCCACATCCCAGCTCCTGACCTCTTCTTAAGGCACATGGGCCCTGCACTGTGACTGGGAGGCCAACACCCATATCCCCAGCCTGCTCTGGTCCGCTGGAGTTAGCAGGCCTTCTCTGCTCTCAGCCTGCCGCCTGAAGAAAGCATCCTTACGCACTGGAGAAGAAAATGGGGCAACACACTCGCCTTGGCCTTTTAGAACCTGCAGAGCCTAGGCCAGAGAATGCCCAGTTCTCCAGATAAGCAGGGCAGCAGACAAGAAAACACGTGGTGATATTCCCACTCAATAATCCCAGGAGGAAGGTATTGGGTTTTTTGTTTGTTTCCTTGTTTTTGTTTTTGATTTAAGTATAGTTGACTTACAATATTAATTTCAGGTGTACAACATAATGATTCAGTATTTTTATACTCCATATAAAGTTGTCATAAAATATTGACTATATTCCCAGCGCTGTACATTACATCATTGTTAACGTTTTATACATAGTAGTAGTTTGTACCTCTTAATCCTCTTCACCTACTTTGCCTCTCCCTCCAAGAAGGTATTATTATTATCCGCATTCTACAGATGCAGAAACAACGAAGCACAGAAAAATTAAGTCCTTTTCCCAAGGTCACACAGTAAGAGCAGCGGTTCAACTCAGAAAAGTCTGGCTCCCGAGCCCAGGAGTCAGCACCTCCATAGGAGGTGGCACAGCTCTTTAGTGTGTGATGAGGAAGGGGCGGGGTGGAGAGAAGGGAATCCGTGTACCCAGAACGGTACTCTGAGTTTCAAACGGTTCCTTCCAAGTTCTTTTCCCGTTTGGTACTGGGGGGCGGGTTGCTTCAACCACTGAATAGACAATAAAGTGAAATGGACCTGACTAGAGTCTAAGACCTGTAAGGCGCAAGGCGAAATTGGCTCTGAAAGTTCCAGAAGTATGCTATAACTGACAACCCAGCACCATGAGCCTCAGTGGGTGACCATCGAGTCTGGGCGTCCGCACAAGGGTTCACCTCCGCCCCTCTTATGGGAGGAGTTACCCTTCAACCTGACAGGCAGCAGTCAACCGTGGCTGGGCACGCAGAGGGCAGGAGGTTCCAGAATGAACGCAGCGCTCCCCGCCCGCCCCGCAGGCACCTGAGCTCGCCCGACGCAAACGTTCCCTGCGGCGTCCGTCCATGCGGTGCCTAGGGCAAAGGGGCGGAGATTGTTTTCTTTCAGGTTCAAGAATAAACCTTGTTGAGAGCCATTTGTTTGCACACCTCTTATCACCCCACGTGGGTGCAGCTGAAAGTGCAAAGTGAAGGTCCCAGTGTTCGGAGCTGGGGGCGGGGGGGCGGGGGCATAACTTACTCCATCTGCGTTCCTGGCCCGCCTGATCCAACACTGAGCTCTGAAGCTTTTAGCCGCGGAGAGAGAACGCGTCCCTCTCGCTCACTGAAGCTTGTCCACCTTGCCGAGTCTCCGGCCTTGGGAGCCCCAGCTGGACACTGAGGCCCTGCGCAGCGCCTCAGAACCCGGGGGGCCCTTCGCCCCAGTCTGGGCGCCCTGGCGGGTCAGGAAACCCCGCTTTCGCTCTCTTTGCTTCAACCACTGAAGAGGCAGTAAAGCGAAATGGGCCTAGATCTGGGTCAGGAAGACCTAGAAGGTAGTCGGGGAAATTGGTCTGAAAGTTCTAGAAGCATGTTGAACTGACCACCCAGCGCCTTGACTCAGCCGCGGAAGGTTCGGGGCTGTGAACGCCGAGCGTCAGCTCACTCTCGCCAAGCCCTTCTGGGTTTACTCACTCGAGCAGGGAGCGGAGGTGCGGCAACTCAGCGGGGACAAAACACCTGCGCGGAGCTGCGGTTCGAGGGCGGAGCGGGAGGGAGCGCCCGCCTTCCCCGCGCCAAACAGTGACCCTCGAGTCTGTTCCGGGATCATCCCGGGTCGCGAGCCGTGTCCGCGCAGGCTAGTCTCCCGGAGAAGCCGCTCCTTCCAGTCCACTCCTGGGGCCGCAGGGCCCCTTCCTAAGCGGTCCCTCTGCCTCGGAGCCCCTGGCCCGGGAGAGGTGGGTGTGCCGCGGCGATCTCCCGTGACCCCCAGGCCTGAAACCGGACCCGGGCAGCAGCGGCCTTGCCTCTGTGGCCCGGACCTGCGTTCGAGTCCTGATCCTGCTGCGTGTCCTCAAGCAAAAAAAAAAAAAAAAAAAAAAATCAGTCTCTGTAAGCTTTGGTTTCCTCGATGTGGATAATTGTGAACCCACCACATTAGGATGGTTCCCAGGGGTCAGTGCTTGTCAGAACTCCTGGACTTCAGGAAACGCTCAAGAAATAAAAGCTGGCCGTTACTACTGTATTAGTTATCGCAATATATCTGCTTTTTCCACGAGACTGTAAGGTACTGGAGAACAGGAACTCCCAGCACCTGGCACAGTACGTGGCATGGTAAGCGAGACTAGCTGCCTGGGACCCTCGACGGCAGAGTGCAGAGTGGGAACAGGGGGCAGTCCAGCAGCAGCGCGTGTGACCCCGAGTGACGTAGGCGAGTGAGAATGAGCCTGTCCCGGCTGCGCACAAACTGCACTTCGGCGCCCACCCCGCGCCCCCAGCCGACAGGGGTCATCCTCTTCCCCCACCCCCCAATCCCGGCACCCCTCGGCGTCCGCTTTCTGTGTAATGGAGGACGCCCAGTGGTCGGGCAGAGGCTGTGCTCAGAGCCAGGGGAAGCCCTAAACGCCTGACCCAGGCCAGCGGTGGGGCAGAGGCCTGAAAGCAAGGCGCAGCAGACCTGTTCTCCAGAGCCGCTCGCTGTCTGCCAGAGGTCGGCAGCTGTTCGACCAAGGCTTACGGTAAGTACCCTGTGGTTTACACTATGGCAACAGAGAAAGGAGGGGTACCTAACTCAAAGGAAGTCGTTTCTGCCCTGGAGCCTCCCTGTTCCCGTGTACAATGGGAACTATGATTCCGTCCTTGCCTGCAAGGCTTGTCACGAGGCTCCCAAGGGAGGAGACAGATAAAGGGCTGTCGCGACAACCTGGTGGGCATGGGATCCAAAACAGGAAGGTCTCAGCGACGGTGTTGGAACATAGAAGACCAGAGCAGAGACACTGAGCCCCCTTCCTTCCGCCATCCTTCTCTAGAAAACTGAAAGCAGAAAAGGGGAAGGAGGGTGCCCTGAGGTGGAAGAGGAATTTTGGCTGCAAGGAGGCATTACCCCAAACTCGGTCTGAGCCCCCCCAAACTCCTCTCAAATCACTATGGAGGCATCCCCCTACTCTGAACTGTGGACAAGAGTGTCATTTCTCTACAGTACTGTCTCCCTGACTTTAGACCAAAGTGAGGAAATCGTTTGGATATTGTGATCTGATAATTTAGGCAAACCCAGATTTGTGCCCAGATTATCAGAATTAACATCTCAGGTCTTTACTTGATTCTCCAAATGCAATTGTAAATTCTGCCTCTCTCTCCCTCTCTCTCTTTGCTCATTGCCTCCGGTCTTTTCTCCCACAAACAAGTCCCTTGTTTTGCAGTTAAAGGGGAACTAGGGTCATATTTCCTTCCAGGAAGATGCTATTTTCCAGACCTAGCTGACCTGGACTTCAGGCCATTAATGCAGGTTCTCATAGTTAATAAAATTAAACGCATTTGCCACCATGAGAAAGTCTGGAGTACATGCTTGGGGTGGAAACAAAGGAGCAGAGAGAAGGCAAGGCTATGGAAATTAGATCTTTTATATTTCATTTTCAATAGGAAAACAAGTTTTTACCTTAGGTCAAAACAGCTACCACCTTAGTGACAGAAAGATTTGTAACTTGGTGTCAGGACACCAAAAAGCAATCTTGATTACATATCAAGAGGTTAAGTTTGAGACTGGGGCCCACAAAGCAGCAGGCTGAGCGCAATGCACTGATGAGGCAATGCGGCCTGAGGCGAGACCCACCTCCTGAAGCTTTCTAAACCAGCTCCCGCTTCTCCATCTAGGGGCCTTCTGTAACCAAGAGGAAGGCTGCAAACTAAATCCAGGAGGATTACGTTCCTCAGTATTCCACAGAGAGTGAGCTATGTGGATGCTGCAGTTTTAATTACACACTTGCTTTTTCTGAGGAAGAAAACCAAAGATATTTTTCAAAGTATTAACTTGTTTTCCATTAGGCAGTTGTTGTAACAAGTTCTTTCAGCGACGTGTTATGTCTTTAGAACGGGGTGCTTCAGATGGCGTGCACTAGCACAATTTTGTGGCTTTTAATTACTATTTTGTTCTTTTGGGGGGTTTCAGAGGCTGGCGCCTCGGCATGATTAGACCGTCTACTGGGCCCACCGCAATCACGAACACCTCCACCAGGTGGCGCCACAAGGCAGGAACTGCGGACTCCGGTAAAGGCGAGTGTCCCTCAACTCCGGGCCACGGTTTCCAACCACCAGGAAACAAGAGATATAGAGGAAGTCGCCACTTCAGATTTAAAAGAAGAGATTGCAGTGATAGGGCCAAACAGCGTTCTAAAATGAAAAAAACTGTAAAATAGGGTTAAGTGCATGAGATAAAACTTTTCTGTTTCTGTAAATTTAGCAAGATTTGTAGTATCGAGACAACACTCTCACCAAAGTATCATCCCATTTCCTTTTTCGTAAAAACATGGAATTTAAAGTTAGAACGAACTTTGAAGGCCATCTGGTCAGTCCAACCTAGAGAGGAAATCCCCGGGATCGTTCTTCGGTTGTCAATTAGCCATCAAATACACGTAATTACTCAGTCTCGGTGTCCACATCAGAAAAGTACAAGGGAAAATGCTTTCAAATATATCATTAGCAATACTACCTTTGAATTTATATAGCTTTTCTCTCAAGGAGCAAGGAAAATAGTTTAAATATTATCGAATTAATTGTCCTAATATCCCTGTGGGTTAGGAAGCAGGTATTATTATTATACCATTATATCAATGGACTATGTCAAGTGCCGAGTGGCTGACAACAGTAAATGCCAGACCCTTCGAGGAAAAGCGGAGCTAGAACTGGCCGGGCTCTCCGCACCGCTTTATTTTGATTAATGTTTGAAAGCTGACCTCGGACGTGAAAGTATGAATCACTGGAGTTGGTCGACACTTGTACACAGAATGGGTTGGGAGACCCCATTTCTTCTTCTCGGAGGCGAAATGACAGTCTCCGTCTTCACGCCTTCTGTCCTCCTGCCATCGGTCACCCTGATTCCCCGCCCCCCCGCCTCCAGCCCCTCGCCTCGCAGCTCACACTCAGCAGCAGCCTGTCTGCACCCACGACCACAGCAGCCGCCGCGCCAGCCCTGTGATTTCCCCCCACACCCCCGCCCCGCGCCCGGCGTTCCGGAGCTCCAGAAGCCTTGTGGCTCGGCGCTTCTGATTGGCCGTTGCTAGGTGACGTCGCCTGAGCTCACGTGACGAGTGTTAAATGCCCACCCTGCGGGAGCCCGGCCCACAGACAATCGTAAAGCCGCTCGGGGCTGCTCACCTGCTCCCACCTCCTCCCGGAGCCCTGGCCAGGCCCCGCCACCCCTGCCCCCTCCACTGCCCGCCCCTCGCCCGAGCCCGCGCTGGGCAAGGCGCCGAGCGGCCCGAGAGGAGGAGAGATGATGAGGCCGGAGGCAGCTGTCCCGAGCAGTGCACGGTGATCGCCTCCCCCGGAGGAGGAGTTGCCTAGACCATTGCCGCATTTCTTGTTTTCCTCTCCCCTCCCCCACTGTAATTACATTGGCTGCTGGAGGGGACAGGGAGAGACGGAGGAGGCGCCTCGCAACCCCCCTCGCGCCCGCCACCCCTGCTCTTTCCCGTCCCGGGCCAGGATGACTGGAGTCTTTGACAGTCTGGTGGCTGATATGCACTCGACCCAGATCACGGCCTCTAGCACGTACCACCAGCAACAGCAGCCCCCGAGCGGCGGCGGCGCTGGCCCCGGCGGCAGCAACGGCAGCAGCCTCCACAAGCCTCAGGAGTCGCCCACACTCCCGGTGTCCACAGCTACCGACAGCAGCTACTACACCAACCAGCAACACCCGGCGGGCGGCGGCGGCGGCGGCGGCGCTGGGGGCTCGCCCTACGCGCACATGGGTTCCTACCAGTACCACGCCAGCGGCCTCAACAACGTCCCTTATTCAGCCAAGAGCGGCTACGACCTGGGCTACACCGCCGCCTACACCTCCTACGCGCCCTACGGGACCAGTTCGTCCCCGGCCAACAACGAACCTGGTAAGCATAACTTTCGCGTCAAGGGTGCCAAGTCCGTCTAGTTCCTGGAATGGGTGGGATAAAAATGTTTGGGACGGGGATCCATCTGGAGCCCTGGCCTTTCACACTGATTGCTTCCCGCTCTCCTCGCGCCCTTTACCCTCATCAGCTTTCAATTGGCCGAGGGTCACCGGGTACGTCCCTCGGGTACCCGGGTACTCGGCTGGTGGGACCAGGTGGCCTCGGCGGCCGCCTCACAACAACCTCATTTCCCTACCACCTGCTGCTCCTTTCTCCCCCGGTTTGCGCCTGTCTTCCCCTTCCCTGGAGGGGCCGACTCCCGGGTTCGCTGGCGGCGCGGGTCCGCGCGTTGCAAAGTTGTGCCTGAGCGCCGCGCAGCGTCTCCAAGAACCCGCCTCCCGGCTTAGGCCAAGTTCCACGCTGCTCTCCCGGCGGGCGGGGAACTCCTGGGCTCCCGCGGTTGCGCGGTTCTCACGATTCCATTTTATTGCAGAGAAAGAGGACCTCGAGCCTGAAATCCGGATAGTAAACGGGAAGCCAAAGAAAGTCCGGAAACCCCGAACCATCTACTCTAGTTTCCAGCTGGCGGCTCTTCAGCGGCGTTTCCAAAAGACTCAGTACCTGGCACTGCCCGAGCGAGCTGAGCTGGCGGCGTCTCTGGGCCTCACCCAGACTCAGGTGAGGGCTCGCGGCCTGGGAGGCACGAGGAGGGCGCTGGCCTGGGATGGCCAGGAAGCAGGCAGGTTTAGGACTATGTTTTTTTAATGTATTTTTTATAGTACTTTTAAGGATTTCGAGGCCCGCGCCTTGGGCGGCCTAAACGTCTACGCCCGAAGCTGAAATCCCCCAGGGTGCCACCTCGTGTGAGAAAAGGATAGGACAGGGGTGGGCAGAAATCCGGTAGCAAGTTGTCCTTCCGCGTACTACTGATTAAGCGGGTAAAACAAGTGGCCCTCCTGACTCCCTCCGCTGTCACCGTCACCTAAGTGCACACACATCAGCTCTCTCGGGTTTTTTGAGAATACCTCCCATTGGAGCAGGAACCGACAGACCCTCTGAGGCCGCGGCACGTGATCGGCTTACCTGACCAGGGTATCCACCTCCTAACCAGCTGTCTTCCTAAGCTTCCTCCCCTCCCCTGCCCCAGGCCGAGTTTCCTCCATTAATGCTCAGGTCCCTTTTCCACAAAGGTCAAAATCTGGTTCCAGAACCGCCGATCCAAGTTCAAGAAAATGTGGAAGAGCGGTGAGATCCCTTCGGAGCAGCACCCGGGGACCAGCGCCTCGCCACCTTGTGCTTCGCCGCCGGCCTCGGCGCCGACCTCCTGGGACTTCGGCGCGCCGCAGCGGATGGGGGGCGGCGGCGGTCCGGGCAGCGGCGGCAGCGGCGCGGGCAGCTCCGGCTCTAGCCCGAGCAGCGCCGCCTCGGCTTTCCTGGGCAACTACCCGTGGTACCACCAGGCCTCGGGCTCCGCTTCGCACCTGCAGGCCGCTGCGCCGCTGCTGCACCCGGCGCAGACCCCGCAGCCGCACCACCACCACCACCAGCACCACCACGGCGGCGGGGGCGCCCCGGTGAGCGCCGGGACGATTTTCTAACTCCCGGAGACTGCGCCAGAGACTAAGAGAGCAGAGACCAGTTATCCTTACTGCTCATCCCCAGAGCCACAGGGTCCCTCCGGCTGGCCCGATGATGCCACCCGCCGCTCCCGGAGGTGGCGGCCCAGGATGGCCTACCCCAGGGCCGGGGCCACCGCGCGGCCAGGGACTGGAAGGCGTCTTCTCGCGCCACGGGCTCCTCTCGGAGAAACCCGGCATCCGCGGGAGAAACCCTGCCAAGGCCGCCTTTCCGACCTGAGCCCCGCCTCAGACTTGCCTCCCCTCCCCTCCCCTCCCCGCCCCGCCCGGCGAGGCAGTCCGGCGCCTTTTTCGCCCCGGGCCGCGAGCAGAGTCCCGGAGAGGGACGCCTGCCCCGCCCGCGAGGCTGCCTGGGCCCTCTGAGGCTCCTTTCTCCTTGCCCGCCCCCAGGCTCAGCTCCTGTCCTCTGGGGTTATTGACCTCCCGGTCCTGCCGGCCTGCCCTCCCCCCGCCCCGACCCCTCGACCCCGGCGGCCCGCCGCTTTTTTTCTGCCCTGCTGTTTCCAGCCGTTGGAGCCCTCGTCCCTCCCCCGCCTTAGCTCTCCTCGCAGGAACGCTCCCTCAGCTCTCTCCTCATCCTTCACCAGTGGAGTTTTTTTATTTTTATTTTTTTAAAAGTTTAGGTGCCTTTGCGGATGACCTCATTTTGATGTTGGGGGAAAAAATGATTTTTTTAATATGTGGACACTGCAAAAAAATGTGTTTAAATTATCTTTTTTAAAACCTATTCAGGATTATTAGCCTGGACTTCGATATAGCGTTTGTAAATAAAGGTGTCTGTGCAGATTTTCCCACTGATTTATTTGTATAAAAATACTCATCTTTTCAGACTTTTTTGTAAATCCCCACTTGTGAAAACTGCGGTTTAGCAGTGACCTCAGCAACCCCTCCGTTTTATTTTTCCCTTCGAAAAATGTTCTCAGTTTAACTAAGCTACTGATTTGGATTTGTTTTATCTTATCCTAAAGTCTTTGTTCTTGAAATGAAAGGTATTTTGGGGTTATTTATTATGAAAACAACATGCTCTTAATGTTGATTTTACAATATGAAGAGATTATTTAAATAAATTATTGTTTTCATTGGATGTGTGCGCTTTTTTCTTGGTGTCACGACCTGGAAGCTCAAGCCGCTGCCCAGGCGGGGAACTAGGTCAGCCAAGAGTGACATTTACATCTATCGGAGGCTGCGACTTGCGGAGAGGTGCGGCGAGGTGAGGACCCGCACTCTCAGCGCAGGGCTGCTGCGAGAGTTCACGCTCTGCCCGCATCCGTGTCCCTGCGCGAGGTTCGCCAGCTCTCCGCGCGGTGAGTCACTCAGCGCCCGGTGGCTCCGGCCTCCGCCCGCCCGGCCCCTTCGGCGCCGGCGCCGCAGCCCCGCTCCTGGGAGGTCTCAGCCGCCCCCGCGCCCGAGGTGCAGGCAGGGCAGTACCTTCGAGCCGCCGCGGGGAACCTGCCGAAGCCGAGGTCTAACCCCTACTTTGGGCCCTCCCCACTGTTTGCCCTGCAGCCCTTCTGGGACTGGCTGAGCTGAGAACTCAGTGAGTCACCCAGGCCCTCGCGAGACTCTGGAAGGCAAGGCGACCCTGGGCACACAGGGCTGCGCTAGCACACATGCAATCACACAGTGACTCGCACAGTCACATCCATACTATCACATATTGAATCACACTTACACTCCTACACAGAACACCGACAAAAATTCATGTACATTCGCACGGAGACCGACGCACAGTGCTGTGGATTCGGCGTTGTTAACACCTCACGATCTCGAAGGGGAAACGTCCATACATGATTCAGCTCTGCTTTCCACACTGGGTCCCACATAACTAGCGCCCAGCTTTGGAAGTGACCCTAATTTCTGGCATTCCCTTCAAAGGCCAGGGGTAGGTGGGTAATGCAGTCCTGAACCAAAAGTCTTTTTCCTTGAAAGCGCTGGGGCCTACAATTGGAAACGTCTTGGCTTCAGTCACAAACTGTGTGACTTTAGGCTACCCACTTAACCTTTCTGTGCTGCAGTTTGCAGATCTGTAAGATGGAATCAATAATAACAGATATCTCAGAGCTGTGAGCCTTTAACAAGGGAATGACAGTGTGTGGCACCTGGTAAGTACTCAATAAATTTTGCTTAGTAGCATAGAGTTTTATCCCAATGCCCCCAAATAGTGAGGGCATTGGGATAAAATGCCCTGCAATTATGAGGTCCAGAGTTACCCAGAGGCCCTTCCAAGTTCACCTTGTGTGGAAGAGCAGCATTCTAGGGCACTCTAGGGCTGGGAGAGCTCTGGCCCCTTCCTATATGAGAGGCTGAACCTTAGCCATCCCCTCTGAAGCGAACAGCGTCTATTGGAGAGGAGGTTGGGGCAAGCCAGAGAGCCCAGTTTGCCATATGTCCTCTAGGATGGCTATTCAGGCCATCCTTTTTGTGTGTCCTCAACTAATGTCTGCCAAAAAACAGACGTGGGGGACTTCCCTGGTGTTGCAGTGGTTAAGAATCCGCCTGCCAATGCAGGGGACATGGGTTCGATCCCTGGTCCGAGAAGATCCCACATGCCGCGGAGCAGCTTAGCCCGTGTGCCACAACTACTGAGCCCAAGTGCTGCAACTACTGGAGCTCGTGCTCCGCAACGAGAAGCCACCGCAATGAGAAGCCCGCGCACCGCAACAAAGAGTAGCCCCCGCTACCCGCAACTAGAGAAAGCCCACGTGCAGCAACGAAGACCCAAAGCAGCCAAAAATAAAATTAAAAAAAAAAACAGACGTGGGACAATGGTGACTTTCTAAGCATCACTGAGAGCAATTCTCACTTTTCTGGCCAGATTGTTTTGAGGCCTGCATTGAATCTAGTTTACAGCAGAGTATGGTCCACAGAGTTGGGGCTCTGGGGAAGGCAGGGAGGCCATTCAGTCAAGTGTCCGTTCGCATTCCTGCAGTGTTTTCCCAGGCTAGGGAAGCCTGGGATGAAGCTCATTGACCCCATGATTCTGACTTCCCTAAGCAGTTGCTGCCTAGCAGACCCCCATTCCTGCCACCACTCCCGCCCCAGCTCCAAATTTCGTGGTTTTCTTTGAGTGCCAGTAGTTGGTGCCAGCCTTCCTTCTGCGGTTGACTGTGCCCTCCCTTCCTTTGCGCGCACTCCCCTCCCCCTCCTGAAACCAGCGAGGAGAGACGGGGCAGTAAATTGGCTGGTGTCGAGGATCTGCAGCAGACAAGATGATTAAGAGGCCTACGCCGAAGCGCCCGGGGCAGGGAATGTCAGCCCAAGTTGGAATCACGCAACAGGCCTTGGCATGAGCGAGCCTGGGAGCCGGGAGGGAGGGCGGCCCCAGCTCTGGGGTGGGCCGAGGCCCCACAGACTCGCCGGAGTCACCGAACCTGGCACCCGGCGGCGGCGGGGTCGGGCCGGGCCAAGGCGCCCGGGAAGCCCTTGAAACAGAGAGCAGAAGGGTGCAGGGGCCAGAGGAAGGGGGCGTTTCCGCAGACAAGGAGAAGGGCAAAGAGAAGGGAAAGAAGGATGCACCTGGGTCCCAGAAGTAAGGGGGCGGGGAGGAGGAGGGGTGAGCGAGGGGAGAAACAAAGCCTGGCTGGGGGAGGAGGGGGCAGGCTCCAGCCCCGCCGGGGGCGACGCGCTGGCAAGTCCTTCTCAGTCTCGCGGCCCGCTGGGAGACGCAGAGCCCTGTGATCAGCCCGCCGCCGCCGCGCAGACAAGCTCCCCCCGCGCCCGACTGCACTCCCCAAAGCGCGAATGAAAAATGGAAATGGGAAGCAGCGATCTCGGCTCCCTGCACTGGGAAACCAGCCGCGCTCGGAACACACATAAATCTTCATTGTAATCTCCTTCCATTTGCTCGCGTGAAATATCAGGCCAGAGACAGGATATGACAAGGGCTGGGAAGCAGAGGGAGGGAAGACGAAGAGTGAGGGGTGCCCGGTTCTCTCCGCTCCACCCCCTGGCAGTGTTGCTCGGAACTCCGGCTGAGCACTGGCACTGAGGTCCAACTCCAGTTGCAGGCACTCCTGGCGAGCCCGAGTCCCCTGCCCCTCGCAGTTCCCCCTCCCCCACCCACCGTACCCCCGCCCTGCGCGCGCTGCGTCGCGGGCCACCCCGCCCCGGGTGCTTCCCGGGTGTAGACACACACCCCTCCCGCGGGTCCGAATTCCCGCCGCCCGCCCCGCCGCTCCCGGGCTGCGGGGGGGAGGGGCGGGAGGCAGGAAAGAAAGGGAATGCATCCCGGGCCTAATCAGCGCGGCTGCAATGTGGGACCATTTAGGAGGCTTCCCCTCCGCCTTCTTTCAGGATTACTTGTGAAAATTGTGAATATCCGTCCTGTGTAAGGATTTCCGAGACTAGTGGGGAGAGTTTGGGGGAAGTATCAGGTTTGATGGGGGCGGAGAGAGGGCTGGAAGACTGGAGCTTTGTTTACAAACAGTCCTTTGGTAGAAGGGGGAGCGGAAAAGAGGGGTAAAAGGTCCCGTGAAGGAGAGTGATGTCGGGGAGTAGAAAGGCCCCTTACCTTTCTAACAAAGATGTCCTCACTGACTGTAAAACCCAGGAGCAACTCCCGCACTCTCCCAAACACCTCCTCCCCCGTCCCCGTCCCAACCACTTGCTCAAAAGTCACAAGCCGGGTCTTTTCCCTCTAGGGAACAGCGACCACCAGTCGCTTAAACCTGTTGGGGGTTAGAGACCTCTTTGAGAATGAAACTACAGATTCTCTCTTCCTCCTAAAATACTGGTTCCTTTGCATTTGACTTTGGGGTCCCCGCAAGCCGGTGGGTGGGACGCGATGCTGCAGTCTTGATTACGCGGGCCCCTGGCCGGGTCTGACTAGGCTCTCCGGAGACGGGCGGGCTCTCGCAGGGTCGTGATACCCAAAACCGCCCCAGGGAAGCCTCCCTCTGCATCTGGAATCTGCCCCCAAGCCTAACCCGCTGCCCAGTCTCCCACCCCCCAAACTCAAAGGCGCGGGCGGATTCGGAGGCCCCCGCTACCCTCTGAGGCCCCCCTACCGGGAGTTCCCCTCGCGGGGACGGGTTTGGCAGTGATTGCCCCATTACAAGACTTGACATTCCGCCCTGGGGCCTGGGGCCAGGCGATGCCGCGGGTAGGCTGTGTTTAACGAAAAGAGAGAGCAGGCAAGTCTTGGAGGAGCGGCCATTCCACCTCCACGTGAGAACACAGGCAGAGTCTCTAGATAGACCTTTCTTTCTCCGGCCGCCTCCGCTCCTCTCCGTCCTCCCGGTGGGGCCAGACCGCAAACACTGCAGTGTCTTAGCAGTTTGCGGGCTGCGCAGCGCTCCCAGGATTCTCCGGAGGCCCGTTTTGGGAATCCTCGGGAGTCCTGGTGCCACTGGCTGCGTCCCGGGTCCGGTCCCGCCAGCGCTAGGAGCTGGAGGGCGGAGACCAGCAGTGAGGTTTGGGCGCGGAGCCCGGGAAGGTGGAGAAAGGCTCCCTGTGATGGGTCGGGACTGCGGGCCAGAAGATTAGAACTCAGGGGAAAGAGAAAAGGCGAAGGAGAGGGAGGGACTGGACTTGGAGCGCGCCGGGGTAATCCCAGGGGGCCGACTCGGGCCCGCACAGAGCAAACATGGCGGGCTTACCCCGCTCCCACTCCTGCCCTCCTTTTTGTGGCCCAGGAGGCTCAAATACCCTAGAGATGAAATCGTCGCTCACGGAACAATGGCGACTTCTGGCCCTGGAACCCGACCGAGTCCGGGCTGCTCCGAGCGGTGGCCGCACTTCCGTAGGCTTCTCCAGCCCGGAGCCGCAGCAAGCCCCCCCCACCCCGCCCCGGGGCAGCCCCCGCCCCGCCCCATCCCTCTGCGGCCCTGGCCTTGGCTTCTTAAAGTCGCAGGCTGTCTCAGTGCCCGAGAGAAGCACCGCCCAAGTGGGGAATGGGTGTTTCTCGGGGGCGCTCTCTCTCTGCGGTGGAGATCAAAGAAACGCCTAGGAGTTCACGGGGCGGGCCCCGAGGATCCTCAGATCCTCCTCTTCCCAAAGCTTCCCAAAAAGCAGGTTGGTGTCCGCCGGCACTGGGCGGCACTCTGTCTAGGGGTGATGACCGCCTCACACCAACTCCTCAGCCAG